AAAAATATGAACTATCTTTGGCAACTAAACAGCTTAGATGAAGTAGAGAAATTCCCTGAAAGATACAAAACTGAAAGACATAATCTAAATAGTCATGTAGCAAAGAAATCATTTTAAAACTTTCCTGGAAAATAAACTACATTCAAATGGCAAAAAATAAAAAATAAAATAAAACAAAAGCATGGAAGACATGCTCTAAAATCCATCAGGAAAGTTAATAAAGGGAATTCAAATTTTAAAAAAAGGCTAAGTATGTCTAAGGACTGCACCATCTTTAATCCTGGAAGAAGATATTATCACTAGCTTCCTGTGATTGACTGAGAATTAAAGACGAAATTAAGTTTTTCTCAAGAAAAGAACTTCGCAGGGCTGGGGAGATGGCTCGGTAGAATAAGCGCGCTTGCCTGGCAAGTGCAAGGACCTGAGTTCAATCCCTAGTTCCGCCAAAAAAAAAAAAGAAAAGAAAAGAACTTTGCTCTTACCTCATAAGACCAGACACACTGCACACCCGCGAACCTCCGGACACATCTTCCCACCTCCACGTCCTCATGGGTGGTGTACATCTCCCGGAGACACTTGCCAATGTGTGGGACCATTCTCCGAAGCACCTCCCGGCTCATGATTACACCAGGCCCCCCCATGCAGAAGTTTTCACCGGGCTCAAGGGCCAGTTTCCCCATTTCTTCTGTAGTGCCCAGTCCTGTTTGCCCCAGAAAGAGGGCCTCACTGCTATTCAAACTCCTCAGGAAACTCTCCAGCCGATCTCCTTTGATGTAAACATCATCATCTGCTCTCATAAACCATTCATACTTGTCCAAGTAGTGGTCATGCATGTACTTGAGCATCATAAAAGACTTCTTCTGGGGAGGGTAGGAGTCATCCACGCCCCGCAGTGGCACTATTGGAATTGGTACAGATGTATCTGAACCCTCACTAGAGAAGAACTCAACTTTCCCAGGAATTGTCTTGGACCACGTTCTGGAATGAAAATAAATATCAATTAGAGAGCAGTTTGTCCCAAGCTTCTTATTTTCAAAAGTTCACACACCAGCTCATTTTAAATCAACATGTATAATGGCTTTACCTATGTGGACTTCTTGCCTCCCTGAAGTCCAGGCTGCCAGGTACAGCACCACAAAATCCAAATTCATTTTTTAAAAAGTCCCAACAAAAATGAAGGATAAGGTATTAAAATAGTTTCATGGTCACTCAGTTTTAGCTATGACTGCCAGGGCATCAAGATAACTGAATTAATTTTCTGATGCTATCAACTCCTGTTAACAAACAACTCAGCTCTATAAAACAAATAAATCAACTGTTCACTCAAAATTTTTTAGAATGTTCAACAACTGTCAATATATACTAAGCAAGAGGGACGCAAAGGTGAACAAAACAACATTTTGACTCAGAGCTAACATCAAAGGAGACAGGCATTTACCAGGACAATCACATTATCCTGAACTAAAATACACACTGGAAGAAAACAGCATGACAGGCCCACGGAATAAAATATGCTTCCCTGATTTACTGCAGCCAACAAATAACATACATTAAAAATAAGAGTAGAAAGGCAACTATATAAAAAATTTGATGGTATTCATTAAAACTAATGAAGAAGCACTAAATCACAGGGAGTGGTGTATCACACCTACAATATCAGCACTGGGGAGGCTGAGGCAGGAGGACTGCTGCAAGTTCAAAGCTAGCTTGGGATATATAGTAAGTTGAAGGGCAGACTGAACTACACAAGAAGACTTTGTTTTGAAGCAGCAGCAGCAGCAGCAGCAGCACTAAGTCTACAATTGTTACATTTAAGATAATAAAACTAAACATAGAGCTGGGGAGATGGCTCCGTGGAATAAGTGCTTCCCTGGTAAGCACAAGGGCCTGAGTTCAATCCCCGGTTCCGCAAAAACAAAAAAAAAAACAAAAAAAAAAAAACCTAAATGTAAAAATAGATTTGTAAGATAGTTCTAAAGCTTTAAATTTATGTACCCTTAAGTGATCTGGGGGCTAGGGAGATAGCTTGGCGGGTACTGGGGAGATAGCTTGGCAGTCTAAGCTCCTGCCAGGCAAGCACAAGGACCTGAGTTCGATCCCTGGTACCGCATTCCGCGCTGGCCCCACACCAGGCCAGCCACTAAAACACTCCGCACTGGACAGGCTGAGACAGGAGGATCACTACAAGTCTGAGCTATGTAGCGAGACCCTGTACCACATAAATAAATAAATAGTCAAGGCACATACCAAATATTCAAGGTACATATTGTAGAAACACTTTTACTGTTGTCATATAGTATTACAGACTATGATACATGCTGCTAAAACAAATGTATGTAAAATAAAACTGCTTTGTGACTGTAAACAAGATAAATACAGAAGAGAGACAGAGAGACAGAGTACTGAGGTAGGGGTGCCACGTGGAGAGTCAGAAGAACTGACAGGCCCAGCCTTTACACTACAGACGCCATCGATGCGAACAGAGCGGAAGAGATGAGATGAAGCTGTATGTGTTCTGAAATGTCCACAGCACAGCAGAGTTGAAGGAAGCCTAAACAGAAGCAGGAAGACCAGTTGAGCAGCCAGAAGCAGCCCAGAGTTTGCACCAGAGCTGTCTGCCCACAGAGGGAAGACTAATGATCAATCGGAAGGAAACAAAGCATCCTTGTGCTGAACAACTAAACTAACACTATCATGTTGCCTTTCATATTTCATATTATGTGTAGTAGACTAAAGTAGTTTTCAGCTACAATAATTTATTTATGCTGACTACTTTCCAAAAAAAAATACAATGGAGAATAAATAAAAGATAGATTGAGTATCCCTTATCCAAATGCCTGGACCCAGAAGTGCTTGAAATTTTGATTGTTTTGAATTTTGGAATATTTGCACAGACTTTATTAGCAGAGCATCTATCTAAAAATGAAAAATGCTCTGAAATCTGACACTGGCAGATTTGCACACTGAACTGAACAGTTTACTGTATTTCAGACCACAGCAGATTTCCAAGTTAGGTGGTAAATTTAATTATAAGAAAACAGGGTTGGCCGGATAGCTCAGGGGACTAAAGTGTCTATTTAGAGAGCCGCAGGGACAGGGCTCCATCCCCGGCGTGCCATGCCAGCCCCACCCCTGGGGCTCACTGAGATAGTGACTGAGACTGGGCGTGGTGGCACGCGCCTGGAATCCTAGGGCTTGAGAGGCTAAAAACTGGAGAATCACTACGGGTCCGATCTGTGTAGTGAGACCTTGTAGACTCTCTACTAAACACACTTTAAAAAATATAATTTCCAAATGATGTTCTCTTCAGTAAGTTTTATTTTACTTAACTGTTACAACTGTATCTATACAGTGAAAAAGTGACTTGACAGTCAGTTAAACATAAATATACACGCATCAGTAATGGGAAGGCTTGAGATTGCCTGAAAAGATCTGTCAAGACAGGGAAGAGGTAGTGAAACAAGGACACGTAGGGGCGAGGGCGCGACTCATAGGAGGAGACAGGTGACTCTCACACTCTGCAACTCTATACTGAGGGGGAATTTTATTAAGCTAATCACATTCTTGTCTTTGAGAAAAATTTGTGATACAATATACATCAAATTTATCACTGGTAGCTCCTGACATTAAGTAATACACACTGTGAACAACCATTACCACCACACACCTCTAGAGTTCTTTTCATCTTACAAAACTGAAATTCTGAGATACCATATTACTTTTGTAACTTAAAAAATAACTCATGATGAAAGATTTGGAAAACAAATGACCAGCAAAAAGAAATACAAAAATGACTACAAGCTTCTCTCAGAGGAAAATTCCAAAGAGATTCAACTTTATCCCAAACATGTTTCTCGAACAGTCCAAGGCTTCACTACACACGGCTCTTCCTTAAACCCAGGGCATCGGTCATAAGGACTGCCACTGCCGCACCCACCTACCTGCACAGTGCAAAGTGCTACTGAGTATCGCCTCATCATGCCAGCAGCCATACAACATCCTCATTTTAAAGATGCTAAAAAAGTATCTTTAAAAGTGGATAAATCATTGCAGGTATTGTTTGCCTATAATGCCTAATGATTTATAATTGTATATTCTATGCCATTTAAGTGTTTAACAAAGAGCCAAGGACAAATTTGGCATATAAGGAACACTACATTGTTACTGATATTATCAAATATTGCATTTCATCTTTATAAAGGAATGCTTTATATATTTATTTATTTTTATTTATTTATGTGTGTGTGTGTGTGTGTGTGTGTGTGTGACCAGCTCAGCCCACCAGGGGGCGGGGCTGGCTGGCATGTGGTGCTGGGGGATTGAACCGCGGTCCCTGTGCTTTGCTAAGCTTGTTCTAAGTAGGTGCTTTAGACCACTGAGCCATCTCACCAGCCCAAGGAATGCTTTAAAAATGGTAAATACAGTAGGAATGAGGAAATAGTGTGAAGAGAAACAAAATCTACATATAAAAGGACAAATCTTTTACAAATGTGAATGAACTGCATCATACACAGAACATGTGACAATCTACACAGACTCTGCAACGCAATCACACACAGACGGGAAAGGATTCTGCAGCCCAACTCCAACTCAGGATGCCAGTGATAACACTAACTAGACTCCCAGGCAAGTCGATGAGTCCCTGATTCCACTCTCCTTACTCAGAAATGGTTTTAATAATCACAATAATTCTTTGAAACTGTGGGTGACTTCATTGGTTGATACATAATAAAGATCAATAAACGTGTGGACTAAATACTGCCCACTCCTGGATAGCAAGTGACTTCCAGATGTGTGCAAAAAAGCACAGATCATTTCCAGAGGCACTTCCTTTCACTTCCCGCCAGCCAGTCCCACTTGGTACGACTCCTACCTTTACAACGCAGATACACTCACAGCACAAGACAGCGCTGACTCTCAGGGAACACGGAACTGCTACAGCTGAAATGAGTTTCTATTCATGGTACTTCTGAAATTTAATTCTAAGTAGCTCCTATTATCTGGCGACTGACTTTAAAAAGTATAATGAATAAAAGCAACTTATTGATACATGCCATGCCAGTGAACCAAGATGTGATTTTGAAAACAAACCAAGTTAAGTGAGTGCGGAAAGTGGCCAACCCCAAAAGCCAAGAAAACACTAATGCTCTGGGGAGAAGTTGCTAATTCCAGCCTCCAGTGCAACAACCTGTTAAAGAGGCAATCGTCTGCAGGGATAGGTTCTGGACTCAGGCCACTGGAGTGAGAATCTTCACTACTCTGGCTAAATTATTCTTTGCCTAGGTTTCCTTGTCTGTAAACTAGAAAGTGTATCTACCACGAGGTGGAGTGGGGCACTCCAGTAATCCCAGTGCTTGAGAAGCTGAGGCATGAGCATCTCTGCAAGTTTGAGGCCAGCCTGGGCTACATACAGAGTTTGAGGCCAGCCTGAGCTACACAGTGAGACCCTGCCTCTAAATACATAAGTAAATAAATAAGAGCGTGCCTTACATGAGAACAACAGTACCTGAGGGTTAAGAGAATTATAAGTGTTTTAGAAGTTCTCCTGCCATTGTACCAGCATGACTTATCAGGGGAGACATGAATTTGCAAATAAAATGAGGTAGTGAAAGGAAAAAGGTGGGAGATGGGAAAGTGTGGGCCCAAATGGAATAGTCAGTTTTAAGACAGCACACTGGAGTGAAAGTATTGTGGAAAATCCCTCTTGCATTTCTGGCTAAAAACCCAAACCTCAGGATATGTACTCAGGATTCTGTTTTGTTATCAATCTTATATCAAAATGTTACTGTGGTGCAAATCTAAGATCACATTTTTAAGCATTTTACTTAAAACACAAGACTCACACTAGACTGAGACTGAAACTTCCCCTCCTGGACCGTGGGGCAAAATCTACTCTCGCGGGGCTGCTTCCTATGGAGCCCAGTAAACAACACACTGGAAGCATGAGATACAGGCCCATCACAGGTGCAGCTAACACT